AGGATGGATGGGACCCAGGTGTCCGAGAGCCGGCCGGATGCGGGGAGGGCCCGGGCCGGGGGCATGGGTCGGACCCAGGGTGTGGGGCGAGCGGTGTCCCTCGGCCGCCCCCTTGCAGAGTATCTGGCCGCCGGCAGGAGCTGAGTCTTTCTCCCCCTCCCCGGGCAGGTGCCCCCATGGCCGGCGAGCTGCGGTGCCAGTGCCTGCAGACCGAGACGGCGGTGATCCCCCCCAAGCGCATCGCCAACGTGGAGCTGATCCCCGAGGGGCCCCACTGCGGGGTGCCAGAAGTCATGTAAGTGTCGGGGCCCTGCTGCCCCCCCCCAGCCTGCGCCCCCCTCCCCGCCCCGCCAACCCCCCGCTCACCCCGCTCTCCCCTCTGCCTCCCCGCAGAGCCACCACGAAGCAAGGCAAGAAAGTCTGCCTGGAGCCCACCGCGCCCTGGGTCAAGCTGATCGTCACCAAGATCCTGAACAGGTACCTGCCCGGGGGGTGTTCCGGGTGCTCCCAGCGCTAATCTGGGCGCTGCCGGGTGTCGCAGGGGGTGTATCGATCTAATGAGCCGCCCCTGGGGGGTAAAAGGAAAATGGGACTTGCTTACATCAAAAACGAACCCAGATCCCAGGCTTGGCTTCCTCATTGATTTAATAACCCAACCCGGTCCATTAGCTGGAAGCGGAAAATAGGGCCTGGGCTGGCCGAAGACTGTTCTTTACAGAAATGTTTCCCCTCCACTTACTCGACTGTTTGTCATCAGTCAAAAATTGTCCTGTGAATTGATTCAAGCATCACAGGTTACTAGTCAACGCCTGTTAAAAGGGGAGCTGGATTCACCCTAGGACAGTTCAAGAGATTTCTAGCCTTTAAAAATGTTGGGATGAGCGTGCAACGTGGTATTGGCTACCCCAGGTTCTCCAAAGCGATGATATAGATCCGCAAGATTTTTCTTCACCACTGTGCTGGCTGAAAAATGTTAACTACATTGAAAAAACAATATAAAGAAAAGTAGGAGTCTTAAAAAGCCACATGCAAATCAGGGCTTACTATTAATTTTCAGATATCCAGAAATCTGATTAGTGTGACTTCTTATGATTTAAAGAGCCCATTCCAGCAACCTGGGGCTGGACCCAGTTCTGCAAACACTTACACCTCTATCTTAGTTACTAGCTTAATGAATAAAACTACATATTGGTCTGTGCATTGTAGAACTGGGTCCTAGATTGCTTTCTTTGATGCTACACTAACCATATGTATTTTTGTTCTCTTCCAACACAAATGAAGGTAGTTTTAATGATGATTAGCATACCTATATTGGTAGAAATTCATTTCCTAAAATTGACCTTATGTCTCTTGTAAATATAAAAACAAAAGAAAAACAAAGAACCTTTTAATATCCAAGTGACTTGTCATCCATTCCCATTTGGGTCCAGATTCTGCCTCTCTTACTCATCCTGAGCAGTATCTCATTCCCCCAGAAGTATCACTGAAGTCAGCTACTACTGGTTCATGTTACCTATTTCCCTTTGTCACTCTGGCTGAGACAACCTTTACCAAATAATGCACCCAATTACTTCAATGGGTGAAAGCCTGGCTCTGAAACACTCATTGTTCAAACCAATATATAGCTGAGGGTTATCAGTTATTTTGGAAAAAGAACAGGAGTACTTGTGGCACCTTAGAGACTAACAAATTTATTAGAGCATAATAAAGACTAACACGGCTGCTACTCTGAAACCAGTTATTTTGCAGTTCTCCTTTCAGTTTTCAAAATACTAAGTGCTGAGATAAAGCCATTCTCGGCAAAAACTATTTTCCTTTAAAGCATGTCTGGGTGTTGTCAGCTTGGATGAGTGCATAAGTACTGATTTCAACTCATTTTATTTTCCTTTCAGTACAACATCAAAAAAATCATGAAGAAAACCTGTGGATTTGCCTGCCAAGAATATGGCATTTTGTGAGCCAGGGACTGCAAGAAAATAATTTTACCTGTGAGACACACTGAATTTGTGCTCATCCTATTTATTAAATATTTGTTTGTAATACAGCAAGATTTTACTGTATTTATTTAAATATTATAGCATGCTTTGTAATTAAGGTGGCTACATTAACCCCTCACTAAGAGGAAACACAATCAGAAAGTAGGATTCATTGTGTGCTAGTAGCATAATGCTTTACAAGCATTCCTTTTGTGGACCACTTCAGAAGATGATCTTACGAACATTCCAATCCCAACACTCTGATGATGTCCACTATTTGGTTATCTTTCCGCACACCATCAGGAAGAGCTCTGGACCACGGAAAAGAGTCTAAGAACCACTGTATTCATGTATTTCATGAAGGCATCCACTGTCTCCAGTGTAATACATGACAGCCCAGTGTTCAAAAGTAAGAGATGGATTTTCGATTAGATTTTCATTTTTTATATAGCAGCCAAGGGAAGACGATTTGCATAGCCAATCCCCAAAACATCTGACCAGTTGTGTTCTGCACACACTCCTGACTGTGATAGGAAAAAGCTTTCCTGGCTAATACAGCAGTGTTTCTCAAACTGGGGGTCCTGACCCAAAAGGGGGTCGCAAGCCTATTGTAGGGGGGTTGTGAGATCATAACAATGTCACTGCGGGAAAGGAGAGTGTGTGTGTGTGTGGGGGGGGGGGGGGTAACAGCAGCCATTGCTCTCTGGCTGCCCAATTCTGAAGACAGCACCGTCAGCAGCAGCAGTGCAGAAGTAAGGGTGGCAGTACCATACGGTGGCACTGCCTTCAGAGCTGGGTACCCGGCCAGCAGCTGCCGCATCTCCAGCCACCCTGCTCTGAAGGCAGCATCGTCACCAGCAGCAGTGCAGCCGTAAGGGTGGCAATAGCATGAATCATGCACTTATGGGTATGTACAGTAATTTCCTATCACTTTTTTGGGGAGGTCGTCACAGCTTGAAATATTTTCAAAGAGGGGCTCAGCAAAAAGAAAAGTTTGAGAACCCCTGTACTATAGGAAAACTGTAAGAGAGGAGACGCTTGATCCAGACTCCAGTGGGCGTTGGACAGAGTCCAAAGTGAACCCAGCAGTTGTTCTTTCCATCAGCTTCAAATTTACCCGCCCCAAAAGAAAAGCTCATGTACTGACCTTGTTCAAACAAGTGTATATTGCTTTTGTCTAATCTCCAATGCTCAAATCTTAAGGGAGCTGGTGTATATTGCTCCCTGCAACCTTAGATGTGTTAGGTCATTTAGGTATGGCACAATGTCACTTGTTCTATAAAAAATGCTGTGCTGCTGATGAATGGTTCATTTATTATGGACCGAATTCTGTCTTTGGATTCTATGTGCACAATTTCCCCTGTCCTTGTTCATGTTTCTGCCCGGCAGGAAACTCTACACTGAAATGAAGTGGAATCTAAAGTAATATTATCAAGGCCAACTGTTGCAATCCTTACTAGTCAAAACTGACATGTAGACGAGTAAGGACTTTAGGATTTGGCCCAAAATGACTAATCAGATCCTTTTTACGTGAGGACATAGTCATTAGGATTGTGACGCTGGTAAGCCGAGTGCCAGCTCCGGCCAGGGCCGAGTCAGCTGAGAACTGACAAATGCAGCTGGAAGCCAGACCAATAAGTTAAATGTATAAATATTGTATAAATGCATTCTTAAATGTACATGACTGTATTTGGTATTTAAACTTTATGAAAACTAATGGGATGCTACTTGCATTATTTTCACTTATGTGTATCCTGTTATAATGGAATAGCGAATATGTACATTGTATAGATCCCAAACCGGACAGTCTCTACGCAAAAGAATAAATGGACACAAATCTGACATCAGGAATCATAACATTCAAAAACCAGTAGGAGAACACTTCAACCTCTCTGGCCACTCAGTAACAGATTTAAAGGTGGCAATTTTGCAACAGAAAAGCTTCAAAAACAGACTCCAATGAGAAACTGCTGAACTTGAATTGATATGCAAACTAGATACCATCAATCGAGGCTTGAATAAAGACTGGGAATGGCTGAGCCATTACACACATTGAATCTATTTTCCCACGTTAAGTATCCTCACACCTTCTTGTCAAACTGTCTGAAATGGGTCATTTTGATTATCACTACAAAAGATTTTTTTCTCCTGCTGATAATTGCTCATCTTAATTAATTAGCCTCGTAGAGTTGGTATGGCTACTCCCACCTTTTCAAGTTCTCTGTATGTGTATATATCTCTCCTTACTATATGTTCCATTCTATGCATCTGATGAAGTGGGCTGTAGCCCACGAAAGCTTATGCTCAAATAAATTTGTTAGTCTCTAAGGTGCCACAAGTACTCCTGTTCTTTTTGCAGATACAGACTAACACGGCTGCTACTCTGAAATAGGAAAGTACTAATTCTCGCACATTTCAAAACAAGTGGTCATTGTATGTGATCAGAGATCAAAGAAGCTAAATGCACTTCTCTCTCTCTGCCATCAAAGAAAGAGCCCATGTGGATAGCCAAACTGTCTATTTGTTTTTCTGTGAGTAGAAACTATAAGTACGGACACAAGGAAAAGTTCTTCATCTTCATATTCTAATAGGGCAGAATAGCTGAACGAGAAGAGGGAGATCCCCAGAGTTATTCTGGGTAGCCCTAAAAGACTTCTGAGAAAATGGCAGATCACTACATCTCTGAGGGCCATTTGAAATTATAAACTGTGACTCACCTGTACATATATTTGTACCTGCTTTAACCTCTCAATAACTCTCATTCCTTTTTCTTAGCTAATCAACCTTTAGATTGTTTACTACAGAATTAGCTACCTGCATTGTCTTTGGTGTGAGACTAGGATGCAAATCGACCTGGATGAGTGACAGGTCTCTTGGGACTGGGTGTTATCTGAAATATGTTGTGATTTTTGGTATAAGTGACCGTTTATCACATAGCACGACTTGCCTGGGTAGCAAAACAGACACTTCAATAAGGGGACTGTCTGTGACTCCATTATAAGACTGCTGTGGTACTTTGGGAGTTCCCATTTATTACTGGGTTGGGGGAATCTAATTATAGAACATACCACCAGTTTGGGGTGTCTGCCCTGCTTTTGACAGTCTGCCCTGAGGCAGGCACTCACGGTTATGAGTCACTCCAGACAGCATGACAAGGACTTCAGATGGTACAATTTAAAAAAAAAAACCAAAAACAGAATTTGAATTTATGTATAATGCCATTTTTGAATCTCTTCTTCCTGCCCTTGAATTCTTGTCCTATTTATGTCATCTGATTTCCAACTGTAAATTCTGTAAGGCACAGCCCTTACATTGCACACATTTTGTATTGTATCTTGCATTTTAAAGCACTAGAATAAACAGCCATGCTTACAAAATATGGAAGAAATCTATTCACCTTCTAAGAAGAATTCACCAAGTCAGATAATGTGGTCCCTTTTAAAAATTGCACCAGAGCATAAATATAATGGAAGATTGTTGCAGGCATGTTTTGGGGATTAA